ATGTACTTTCAGACACAACTCCCTATTCTGTTAATGCTATATATAACTGGAGGAAATAGTTTAAATGTGTAGGAGCAATACAGTGTAGTTAATAATTGAATCAATGCACTATTTCAGCCAGTCAGTCATTCCAGTTCTGCATTGCATTGGTATCTCCTGACAGATGCTACTGCATACCCAAATTGAATGTTGGGTGTTAGTTTTGTTTTATCTTTGAAAGGTTTAGGCCTTCTTTCTTTTTAAAATATTTTGTCAGTATGTTTGTTTTCAAACAAATCACTACCTTACATATATTAGAAATTTGCTTTCTTAGACTATTATGCTAATTATCAGATTCTTCCAACCAGTGCAAAATTTCCCACATCTGGATCACACAACACCCTGATTAAGAGCCAGTGTTTACTCAAAAAACACTTTCTCTATTTTTTAGGGTAGTTCTGTTCCATTAACAATTGTTTTATTATTGTTTGGTGTGAGCAACCTTTTGCTAAGGCAAATATGTGGCAGGATATGCATGTTTTAATTTAAAAAGTAGTAATAAACCACATTTGGAGTCAGAATTTAGAGTCAGAGTGACCAGGATATCCTTTATTTGAAACTTTTTTCTAGCTATTTGAAATCTTCAGGTTGTTTTTAAAAAAAATCACCATGATAAAACAGAATGCCATTGTGACGAATATTGAAAATAAATACTTGGGAGTTTGCCAGCATGACTACCCAGCCTGCAAACTGGCAAGTTCAAATAGCAAACATTTTGCTTCCCTTGAAAAATATGGCACAGACTTTGGAGTCAGACTAGAAATGTAAATGGGAAGAATGGATGCTATCCTCTTGTAAATGCTTCCTGAGGGGAAAAAACAAATATTATGGACTCAAAAGTGGTTTGAATTCATAGATTATGTGCTTTATTGCAGGAACGCCAGCTGAAACCAGCTTGCTTTGCAATATAATTCCCTTCACACTCTTTTTACTGATTTAAGTGATCTTCACATGGTTACCAGGGAGCAGAACTGCACTGCTGGCCCCTTCCCTGATCTCCACACATTAGATGTGGGTATTTGGAAGGGGAAAGGCTTTTCAAATCGATCTGTGTGTGTATGGGTTTTCATCCAACAGACATCCACTCCAGGCATGCGGATATTGGAGAGGGAGGGTTCCGGAAATCAAATTATGTCAGGTGCAGCGTTAGAAACTCAGATTTATAAACTAATCACCAAATGGCACCTTAAACAGAGGTTACGGTCGCCACAACGGAATGTCCACATGCCGTTTTCCCCCAGTGGGACTTATTGTTATTGTTCATTTCATTTCTATACCACTTTATATTAAAAAAATAATCAAAAAGTTGTTTACATTAAAACAGGAGTTGGCAACCTAAAGCCCATGGGGATTGTTTAACCGGCCCACAAGCTGCCCCTAAACCGAGCCGCCCACTCGGCGAGTCCCCGCCCGCTGCGCTAAACTGGCACAGTGTGGGGGCTCACTTTCTCGGTGCTAGAAATAGTGTCTGCGAATGCTCAGATGCAGGAAATTATTTCTGCGCAGACACCGGAAATCACAGCCGCACGCACACGATCCGGCCCACGGAGGGATCTCCGCTAGAGTGAACTGTCCCAGGCGAGGTAAATCTTGCCGATCCTTGCATTAAAACATCAAATAAAATACCATAATGACACTTTCTGAGTACCAAAGGAGCTTTGGGATTGGCCTCGAAAGCTTTAGTCACAAAAGAAAATAGATAAAATAACTTTGTCTAAGTATAGCCTAATGACTCTAAATGTTGATGATAAAAAAATGCTTTCTGAAATGTCTCAGCAGCAGAAGTTACTTTTTAATTGTTCTGTGTTTACATATCACTTTCGTTGGGAGAACCACCTTTTATTATTCTGCTGGCAGTGTACACATTATTGTTTGCCAATACAAGTATCCATTAAAAAGCCTCAATGTGCTAAAAGAATTGTTGATGCTTTCTTGAGTTAAAAATGAATTATAAACAAAAATCGTAAATCAGCTATGAGCAAATTAAGAGTGTTGGTTTGGGATACTGTATTAATTTTACATTTGGTTTGAATACATGGAAAAAATTAGCTGATTTATGCATGCCTGCAAGATCCTGGTTGCCACTTAAAATCGCTTCTGTGTATTTGAGTCTCTACACTGCTGCAGAAACATTTTGAATCAGCTTCCCATTTAGTTTGGTCAAATTGGTGGGAAGTATGCATGCCATTGTTGTGTTTCTGACTCTGAGGGCCTTATGTTGCCAATCCTTGTGAATAAGCAGATTGAATTGTACACATTCCACGAGTCCTAACTCCATGGAAGTTGTTTTTCGCAGCAATCATACCACCACTGGGCATCTTTGAATCAGTTCCATGTTGTGGTTGCTGTTTCAGCAGTACATTTAGTTTAAAATCAGATGGGAGCTTTGATGTTTCAAAAAGTACAGTGTGAGAACAAATCACAAAGGCTTAAAACATGAAGGTGATTTATTAAACAGAGCTATAAAATGCATACCGATACGACACCTTGTTGTGCTCTTTGCCTGAAACTACACTGCATACTTAGACATCTATAATCTAAATAGAGCATTAGATCAAGGATCAGTGAACAATCAGTTAATACCAAAATCATTGTATGTTTCTCTTGTCCCAGTATGCCTTCTGTTGTTGTATTATATTGTATTTACTACCTAAGAGAGAAGTATTGATTCAATGAGTTGAATTAGCACCTCTCAGCCTACTGGGGCATACAGGGTGAGGAGTTGGAGGCGCAAAGGAACTGGTTACTACTTTAGAAGCTCAGTCACGTTGGCAGTGCCGTTCATCTGAAAATCAAGTCAGTGATATCATTGAACTTCAAGATTATACATAGGATTTTATCTAAGGAGGTGTGACTAAGCCTTTCAGGCCAACCCTTTTTGGCATTAGAGTGGGGGACTTATGGGAGCAGCCAGTAAAAAAAAAGTTTCAAAAATTATTATTATTATTATTATTATTATTTAAAAATTAAATGGAAATGAATGATTGGGGTAACCCTTCAGCATCACAGCAGGGGACTTTCTTAAATGAAGTTCTGGGGGGCAGATGCAGGCCACAGGTTGTCCACCCACTGATATAAGGAATATGTAATTAAATATGTATAATCTGATTAATGATGTCCAGAATTAATTTTTAATAATGATGAAAGTAATATTTGTTTCAAATCAGAGAATATATCATATTGGACAAATATTATAGGTCACCAGTGGTAGAGACTATTATAAGTACAGTGAGTCTTTTTATGTCACTTGTGTTTAATGCTTTATTTTCTGCAAACTACTGCCGTTCAGGTTTGGGTGGATGCATAGCTGTCAGCCTTCCCTTTTTTGCGGGAAATTCCCTTATTCCAGCGCCGTTTCCCGCTGCTTCCCACTGCTATCCCAGATTGTTAGATATCCCGTAGACTGTCCCCGGGACAGGTGAGGCTGCTGATCCCTTATTTTCAAATCTGAAAGTTGACAGCTATGAGTGGATGAGTAAGGTTTCATTTTGCCCAGCAATATCATGGTAGCATTAAGGTGCTTTAAAAAATAAATGGATTTTGTTTATGTGAAGAAATATATGACAGAGATCTCCCATGTTATTTGGAAACTTATTGATGGATTGATTAATTGAGCAGCAATCCTATGCTTGCTTATTTTGGAGTAAATTGTATGTATCCAGTGAAATTTACTGCAGAATAAGCAAGCATAAGATTGCTGCTCAAGAATGGCAGAATTGAGCTGTTTGTAACTAATTAGCAGTTAACATAAGAATATGAGAGTACCACTTCCAAAATTAGAAGAAAGGGTAAAAATTTTAAATGTTAATTTGGTGACTCACATATGTTTATATATGGAAAAATATTCTAAATTGAGTCTTCCAACTCATTTTGAATATTCACATTTTTAAGAAATGCCATATTCTGCTTTTGTGTATAACTGAGCTTTCATCCAGCATGATGACAAATCAGATTGTATTTCCTAGAACACATAAGAAACTAAGAGCCTGATAGATATTTAAAAGGTGTGCTCACTCTGCATTTTGATAATATTCCCTCCAAAGTAAAATACAGAGAGAAAACCTAGAGTACTATAGTACTATTTAGTTTTCGGGTTCAATTCAAAATGCTGGTGTTTACCTATTAAGTCCTGAACAGCCGAGGCTCTGAATATCTTAGGGAGTTCCTCAGAACCCTTGAGACACAGACTCCCACCCCATTATGATCTATCGGAGAAGCCTTCCATTAGGAATTGTGTAGCTGCAGGTCAGAAAAAGTCCTTTATGATCCCAAAGGAATTATTGTCTTTACCAGTTATTAGAAATCACTGTAAAGGCTTTTCATTTAGGCAGGTTTGTGAAGACTGCTTTTGTAATATATAAAAACTTTTGTTGTTGTTGTTGTTAAATTGCTTGAGCTATAATGCTTTTCATCTAGGACTGCAGCGTTTAGTTATGTAATGGCATAGATTAATTAAAAAAAAACCTTTTGATTGTTGGTTAGTAAATTTTACATATTATTTTTAATATAGGTACAGTGGTACCTCAGGTTACATACGCTTCAGGTTACATATGCTTCAGGTTACGGACTCCGCTAACCCAGAAATAGTGCTTCAGGTTAAGAACTTTGCTTCAGGATGAGAACAGAAATTGTGCTCCGGCGGCGCAGCAGCAGCAGGAGGCCCCATTAGGTAAAGTGGTGCTTCAGGTTAAGAAAATTTTCAGGTTAAGAACGGACCTCCAGAACGAATTAAGTACTTAACCCAAGGTACCACTGTACATTGCTTCACTTTCAGTTCTAAGTTTTACTTCAACCATGATTTGGCATGTTTTTCAAACCGCTGTATGAGAATGGGGCAAAGAGAAGGAGGAAGATGCCTGCAATTCATTTCAGTTTCAGGTTAAGTATGGACCTCCGGAACGAATTAAGTACTTAACCCGAGGTACCACTGTACCTAGGTTTGAGGAGGTGTATGTTATTTCACCACTCAGTCTGTGTTCTCTCCCTCCACTCTCTTTAATAAAAAGAAGGTACAACAGTTATCAATAACAGGTAGCAGCTCCAGAAATGTAATGCTGCCCACTTGGCTTCTCAGAAGAAAACACTTTGACTCCACCTCATGGTTCACTTTTGAGCCAAACACTTTCGAGCACAATTCTCAACTTTGACACTGTAGAAATGATCCTGAAAGTATAGGTACTTACAAAAACTTTAGGGATTCTCTCCTCTCTCACACAGAGTATTCATGTTTCACAATCACATCAGTTGATTAAGACATAATTTAATTAATTAATTAATTAATATTTCGTTGAGTACAGCAGCACCTCCGGTTGCGCACATGATCTGTTCCGGAGCTCTGGTCGGATCGCGAGGTGTGCATATCCGGAGGTGCCGTTTCTGCGCATGCACGCGGTGCATAGAGCACATCTGCGCATGTACACACAGCGAAACCCGGAAAAATACTTCCAGGTTTGCCACGTTCGCATCCTGAAGGATACGCAACCAGAGGTGTGCGTATGCAGAGGTACCACTGTATAAGCTCCAGTTTTTATTTTTTGTTGAGTATGAGTTCTAATTTCATCCCTGATCTTTACTGGGTATTTGTGATACACTGGTTGGTTGGTTGGTTGGTTGGTTGGTTGGTTTTTATCTTGGTAAAACACCTTTTTCTCCATTATGAAAAAATTAGCAACAAAATGTATGTCAGTCCTAAACACACTTACTATAAGGACTAAGCCTTATTGGGCATAGCGGGACATACTCCAAAGTAAGCATACATAGGATTGCACTGTCTAGTAAATAATAGATGTGAAAAAGAACAATTAAAGGAACTTGGGAAGCTGCCTTATGCCATGTCAATCTTTTATCCATCTAGTGCAGCATAACCAGTGTTCACTGTCAGTGGTTCTCTAGGGTCTGTGGCAGAGGTATTTGACCTAACCTGCTATATGATCCTTTAAATAAAAAAAAAAACAGTTGCCAGGGATGTACCTTCTGCTCCCAAACCATTGAGCTATAGTGCCTCTAGACTGTGTACAGTGGTACCTTAGTTCCTGAACGGCTTAGTTGTCAAACAAATTGGCTCCCTAACACTGCAAACCTGGAAGTACCATATTTTTTCGCATATAGGGCAACCCTATTTTGGGGGACTCCAAATTGAGGAAATAGGGAGAGATTGCCCAGAGTTGTTAAGTTTGGGGGGGGGGGATTGCCAACAGTCGCTCACACGCCTGACCACCGCTGCCAATTGAATGCATCAACAAAGCCACCAATCATTTGCCCACTCACTACCAGCAGCCACCGATCGCCTGCCCAATTGCCACAGCAGCCAATCACCAGCAAACCTTGCAGCAGCCACCAATCACACGCCCAAACAGCGCTGACAGTCTCCTGCTCGTGGCAGCCACCGACTGCCCATCCTACTGCTGCACTATCTGTGTATAAGACGACCCCCAATTTTTAGCATTTCTAATAATAAAAAATCTCTTATACACGGGAAAATATAGGAAATGTTCCAGTTTGCGAACATTTTCCAGAAGCTGAACGTACGACACAGCTTCCGATTGCGTGCAGGAAGCCTCCTGCAGCCAATCAGAAGCCATGCCTTGGTTTTCGAACCAAGTTTTGGGAGTTGAACGGACTCGCGGAATGGATTAAGTTCAAGAACCAGGGTACTACTGTGTCTATGTTTGGTGATAAAGGGGGAGGAAGCGTCTATGTCAGTTTCCCAGGCTTCTATTTTCAAGCTCACTTTAATTTTGTCCCTTTCTAATAGGCTGGGTGTATTTGATTTCTTTTTTTTTTTTTAAAGTCCAAAAACTGCATGCAGTTGAGTGTCCAGTGTAGACGGATTCTAAGCTGAAACATTTCCTGTTCCTAACATTTATCATATCTATTCTTGTTCTTTGTTACTGAAGAAATGTTTTGCATGAAATATTCATCTAGTTTAAAAGAATAAAGTATTAAATGATGGCTAGTAATATTATCAAATGAACTTACTGGCTTCTGAAGAGCTATCTTCCTTAACTGTAATTAAGAAGTTACTGAAATCAAAAAGGTTTCAAATATAACTGAATTTCTGAATTGTTAATTTTTGCAGTGTTGTAACACTAAGCATCAGTGATACTTTATGTGCTTCAGGCTGCAAACCTATACAAACTTTCCTGGGGAATAAGTCCCGTTGAGCTCAGTGAGACTTACTTGAGAGTAATATATAGGATTGTAATGTAAAAGAGGCAGAAAATGCTATTCTTTCTTTGACTTGTAATGAAGATTATATGGGATTTTAATTAAATGATTGGAATTAATAAACTTTGTAAGAATTCTTGTTCTGACTGCCTAACTTTACTAACATTATTTGTGCACACAAAACTATTTACAAGACAGTAAGTTTTGGAGCTGGGAACTGATTAAAGCTTTGAGCTTATTAATTATGCTTAAATATTTAATTAATTTAAACTCCCATTTTCAGTATGTATCCTGGCTTGAACCCCAAGAACCACAATCAGTTTTCTTCCAGGATCTCCTACCACTCTTCCACTGCCATCCCCTCATCTATTTCTCCTCCGCCTTCCAAGCAAGTCCAGAAGTTTGGGCAATCCTCCAGAACAGCATTTGGTGCAGCATGGGGAACAGATTGACTAGATTGGTTTGTCTGGTGGATATGAACCTTGCTTACAGAGCAGGAAGTAGCATGTGCTTGCCCTTTTCTATGCCTTGTCAAGGGAGGATGTAAAATTCACTATTGCAAACTTCATAAAATAATGTCACAGACTGAAATGTGCAACAAAAAACCCCAATAACTTTACTTACCATTCTCCAAATTTTACTGTAGCTAAACTCAGAATAAGCACAGTTCTGGACTTCAGTCCGTTGACATTCCCTAGAATTCATGAACCTTCCCTCCATTCATCAATTTGGCTTCTACTGTTAGATAAATCAGCAGATGCTCCTCTAGTGATGACCAGAAACCAGCTTGGCAAAAATTAAAACAAATTAATGGAGAATAGGTTTGTCTTTGAGCTTATTGGACAGATAGATAAATGTACAGAGGCTGAATACCTCCAGTTACTACATGCTGGGGATAAACAAGGGATTACCATTAACATCATACCCTGCTTGTGAGCTGTCTACAGGCATTTATTTTATTGACTACAGATGGAATAGTAGATTAGGGAGACCTTTGGGCTGATCCAATGAAGCTGTTCTTAAGTACCTATTAGAAATAAACACAAATGGTTTACTTGAGTGCCATCACCAGTGTATGATTTCACACAGTGTATCTATGTTTAAATTCTGTAATCTATAATTATATACTTTGGTAAATCCATCCACATGCTTAAAAAATAGGATGAAGTTGCAAATAAATCTGCTTGCTGAAAGAGGAATGTAAAAGGACATGAAAATGAGCCCCTGCTCACAGGCTTATGGAGTAACAAAGGACAGTTGTGTGTTTTGTTTATGAAGGTGTATTACGTACAGAAATAATTTGTTTCATCAGACACTTGCAGTGGCATGGCATGGCAGTATTCTGCTAGGAGTTGATTACGTCATACCAGTCTCTTGGACCTACACAAATACATCCTGAGGAGGAAAGAGAGAACACTGTTTACTGACTCTCCAGGCTAATGTTTGATACATCAAATCACTTTTCTTAAAAGCTCATAGTACAATTCATCAAGTTGTTGATGTGATGAGATGTAATGGAAACAAAATGACCTTGCGAAGAATATGTAGAATATTTAGAAAATTAGGGAAAGGGCTACTTCTGTCAGTAGTGATAGCTTTCACTAATTAGCAAGAGTAATTGCATGATTATTGCACACATAGAAATTATTCTAGAAAAAAGGCCTGCTGGGGGTAGAGATAATCTTCTCCCAAGGGTTGCCCTCTTAATTAAGTGTACACTAAAGCAGGTGTACACAGAGACTTTGAACATCATGTTAAGCAGGTCCCTTGGCTTCCAACTTGGCTATTCCTAAATGAGTTTTAATGAGTGTTATGTCTCAGGTTGTGTGCTAATGAAGCTTTTGTTGTAAGTTGTGCTGAAAAATTAAGGGAAAGAGATTTATTTGCATATTACAACCCTCTTTGTTTGTCTTTGTTGCTAGCTCAGTAGATGGGACAGTAAGCTGCTGTGTCTCCCTAGCAAAATACTGGAAACTCCTTTGAACAAACCTGTACATGCAGCATTGAAAGGTGGCTGTGTTGAAGCCATAGGGGACATTTCCTGTCTTCTAAACAAAAGCATGATTATCATGGGAATCTGCTTGTTTGTTTGAAATATGAGTGTGTGGATATTTATTTTAGATTGTGTTTAATGCTGTGAAATATTTTAAAAGAGCAAAACATCCAAATCAAATATGACAAGGGATGCAGCAAATAGACTCTGAACTACGCATTTAGCATTGACATTTGATTATATTAAGCGTTCTTCGTAGGAGAATGGCTATGGAGGAATTATGCCCTGTTCATCCATGGTCTGTTTCTCACTTTAATTTGGAAGAAGAACATGTAAGACCTATTTTCAGGTGCCTGTTTTCTGTGATGTAGGTTCCAGCAACCTGCCATAATGTATTTACCATGTCACTCAACTCAGTTGATGTTGTTGTCACATTTAGGGGGCAATCCAATGGCAAGGTGAACCAGGTTGAACATCTTAGGATGCAGCAGATCTCTAGCTCAGTCAGCAGATTCCTGGCTCCCCAACCCTGGCACAGCCAATGATACACCAGCGTAACTTGCTAATCACAGATCAGTTGGCTGAGAAGAGTCCCCAAAAAGGGCATGGTGGGGGCAGGACCAGAGAGGGGAGACTTGGGCTGCATATGAAGCCTGTTCAGCTCAGTCACATGACCTAGCAACCTAGCATATTTTATAGGCTTGTTTTCCCGCTGCCAAGCTAAGGCAGAACAGCAGTAGCAGTCCTACTGCTGAACAGGGTTTTGATCTAGTGTAACTTTATGCCAACTTAATTTGCATTGTATTGCTTTACACCAGCTTCTTGTGTATAGGATTGCTCCTTAACCTCTCTTAGGCTAAATCATGTCTATGTTAAAAATATCAAATGTTTGAGACAAATTATCACAGATTTTGAACTTTTTACCATTCAGAAAAATAGCTATATTTTACCTCCAAATTTTACCTATAGGTGAGCAAACAATTTTAACATTTTTGCCAAGAATTATTCAAGACAGAGAGCATTCCTGTATGATCTCTCTTCTTTTTATGATAATCAGCAGGACCGTCTTAAGCATATCCGGCGCCGTGGTGCAGATTCGCCCCCGTTTCCCAGAGTTGTCGACCTTTTTTAGGGTGGACGGCGCTGCTGGAGGAGGCAGGCAGTGGCTGGAGGGCAGCTCCTCCAGCGGGAAAGAGGCGGAGGCTGGACGCGCCACCTCCTGGCTCAACTTGCCGCTTTGTGCTATGGTGGCCATGGCAGATGAAGGCTCCAGGTGCGGTGCTGCTTTGGCGTGGCATGGTGGAGACGGGCAAGGCTGGTGAGCTGATGCCAGGGGAAGCCGCGTCCAGCCTCTCCCTCTTCCCTGGCGCCCTCCAGAACTCTTGACGCCCACCAGATTTCATCACAATCTTTATGGGTGCCCACCAGATTTCATCACAATCTTTAAAGATACACTCACTTTTAAAGTAAATGCATAGGTTAATGGACAAGTTTTCCTCCTTCAAAAAATAGGTTCTTGTAGGAATAGTGACTTTCTGAGCATTTACAGGTGTTGTCCAACTTCAATGCCCCAGCCCAGCCAGCCTGGTCAGTGATCAGGAATGGCATTTAGAAATGATGATGGTGATGATGATGATGTACTCTATGTGCAATTATTTGAATGTAGAATAAGTTTGTTCCTAATTATAAGAAGGGAAAGACAGTTTACTGTAAAATAATAAACAGTGCAGTGCCTTAATAAATCTCTGTGAAGAACTATACAATATTCAGGACATAATTATTGCATACTCTTGTTGTACGCTGAGGATGTTTATGAGCAATACTAAAGCATCTGCTCTGAGCTGCAAAAAGTCTAAATTAGGAAATGTGAGAGTTTACCAAGTCCAGCATTTTTCAGAGTTATGACTAACATAGTAGGAGAGAGAAGACACAGTCCACATAGTTTGAGGCGGATTGCTGCTTAAAGTTAAAATCAGTTCGCACACTTCTAAGAGGATGTCCTGTTGAACTGAGTGAAACGAGACTTCTAAGTAAAGTGACTGTACTTTCAACCTTGTTGTTTATTAATGCAGCCACGTGAATCCTTTAACAAGTAGTTCTATCCTAATGTCTGAGGTTTACCTATTGTCAAAAATAACACTGTTGAATGGGCATGTTTCCTGAACTGTCATTCTTTGTTCCAAGGGCAGGCTCCTTTTCATACTGAGCTGGAAAAAAGTGTGGCTTTTACTATCTTGTGGGCCAGTTGGATCAGCCCTACCCATTTCTTTTCTGTTCGGACACTGTTCTTTTGTGATGGCCCTTGGCTAAACAAACTGATTAATTATACACTGGTAACCTTTCTGTGCTTAAAGCTCACAGCTCAAGCCCAACCTTTTATTTAGCTCAGCTCTTCCTAGGTGTTTAACCTATGTTCCCCATCCAGCATGGTCCTTCTAAAAAACAAAAACAATTATTTTTCCTTCTGAAACACTTGCCTACTCAACACTTCTCAACCTCCTGGTTCCCACCCAGGACTCTACCCTTCCACCTTGTCTCTCAACCCAGGGCGCAAACAAACTAACAAATCACCTCCTCAAATCTCACAACAGAGTTCATGGAACCTGCTGACCATAGTCTCTCTAGGCTTGCTTTTGTGGGCTTTTTGTAGTTGAAGAAAACATTAGCTATCTTATGTTCACCTGAGGGAAATCCGCTTTTTAGAAGTACTTTTATCAATTTAAATTTCACCTGTGGTGTGAAAGGACAGTCATAGTTAAAAAGAGAAAAAGCAGCCACAGCAGTGTTTTTTAAAGGATTTTCCAAAGTGGTTTAGATTTCAGTCTGCTGCCTGATCATATACCAAAGGACTACTGATCAAACATGTTTGATTATGTTCAACACAGAATAAATCAAAACAACAAAGCATTGTTAAAAGGGATGTGATTTTAAAATGGTCCAGAGTTAGAGAATTTGCCTCCAGTCAGACACAAACGCACACCTAAGTCAGAATTTTAATAGTGTGAAATATCTTTTGCTAACATAGGTATGCAAGCATTTGAACCTTTCCAAGTGATGGTCTCCTCTTCTGAGTGGAATATTTTATTCTGTTTTTAAAATCAATAAATGTTTACTTTCTAGTGAATTGATTAATTTTCCATAGAATTCTGACACTTGGATAAACTAATATGAGCACATCCTTTCAAACCATTTTAATTTTTCTAAAAAATCTAGCAACCTCTATGTGCACTGCATTTTTTCCCTTTTGTTTGAAGCAGGAAGTCATTTTGGAGCTGAAGGTAATGAAATTCTTGAGACCTGATCTAATGAGTAATATGTAAAAAGATTTTTTCCTTACTAAAAACCTCACTAGTTGTCTCTCGCCCCCCCCCTTCTTTTTCAAGAACCTGTTAACTTTAAAGTAACATCCCACCTTCTGCTAGGACCTATGTATGACTCAGGGTGAAGTTACATTTTAAATGGAAATTGTGATAGACAGCACCTATAATTACAGCAATTTTTTATCTGGCTGTTTGAACTGTCAAGCTAGTCATTGAGTGCATAAAGTACTAGAAACGGTACAGGAGGTTTATACATACATTAAATTAATCTTTCAGAGCCACTTGACTATTTAAAGCTGAAATATAGAATTCAGAAACATTTCCAAGACATTTCTAAAAAGAGAAGGGATAGAAGCAAACTTGTTCTTTCATATTTTATTTGTGTTGATTCACATGACCAACTTTATTTTATAATTGCATATGTTTGAAGTTATTAACAGTATCACATATTAGCTGTCGTAAATAATAATGTGAGTGCAGTATTCATCAAGAACCATTCTCTTTATCATCACCTGATTGTGTGAATTAGCTCTTCGGAATGATGCATGTCATAATTTGCATATACAGAAAATATCCATGTTAGTCCGACTCAGAGTAGACCCATGACAAGCGTTCTTCTGAATAAAACCTAGTTGAATGCAACCAACAGTATTACATATGCTGATGATTCTGTTTTTTGGAAACCCAGGGGGAATTTCTTTTTTGAAGGTGCCTTTACATAATAAAGAATCCAAAGTAAAAACTTAACCTGAGAGGAGGCTAGCTTCAGATCTTACCCAAGCTCTTAAGTGGTGTGCTTTGTCTGTGATTTGCTCAGGGGTTGCATTCTGGGTCATTGCGTGCCTGCATGAAATCACATGCAATTGAAACACCCCGTTCTGCCCTGTTCTGCTTCCTCCTCTGTTCTGCCCTTTTAGTGACTTTTTAATGATGTTTCTGGGTCACTTCCAGGTTCAGTGCTGTGTGCATGCGCACACATATCAGTCTCACCTAAGACGGGGTGGGGGTGTCCCTGTATTTGGTGCCTCCCTCCAACCCATTTAAGTTTGAAAGCCCGTCCAAAATGAGCAAGTGAAATGATGTATGCATCTTTTTCAAATCATAACATAAACAAGTCAAATAAATTAAAACAGTATACAATTTTTTAAAACCACAAAGAGGTGTCACGTTAAAGATTTGATTTTGCTGCAAAAATATGCATGGCTATGCTCCAAAGGTTGTTGTTCTTGACAATAAAATTTAAATTCCGAAGTTGAGATATGGGTCAGTTCTTTTAGGCAGAGAGCATAGTATCCTGCTTGCGGTTTACCAGTATTGTAACTTCTTCCATTTTTGAAAGGGTGCAACAACAAAATATTTGGGGGGGGAAACAGTATGTTGGGGAGCTTCCTGGACCCCTTAAGAAGAGTTTAGTTGATTATATCTCTTTCTATATAAATATGAGTCATAATTCAAATATTTCATCAAAATTAATATGTTATCACATTTCCAATTTTCAGGAATTCTTTGAACACGCAAAAAAGCTCTGGGACGACGAAGGAGTAAAGGCATGCTTCGAGAGATCAAATGAATACCAGTTGATTGATTGTGCACAATAGTAAGTGCTTCTTACAGAACAATGTACTTGTGTAAGCCTGAAAACCAGCATTCTAAATTAATGATTGGGGGCCAGTGGAAACTTACAGAAAGCATTTTTGTTTTGCTTTTGTGTTTGAGGGAGGTGTGACACCTGATTTATTATGGCCATTTCTCCTCTCTCAAACCTCACTTACAGTGACTGCTCCTCTCACTCAGTCCACCAACTATGTAATTACTCCATGTTTTAGTTATACAGTATCCCCATTCCAAAGTAAATATCAACTTGTCATAATACATAACATTTGGTGGGGTGAAAGTTGTTACAAAACTTAGCGTTCTTTTAAAATCAGTATTATAATGAAATACACACACACTTTAAAGACTTAGAGCCTGATCCTGCCAAAGTTGACTACTTTTCAGTCCTACTTATTTCAATAGCTGAGAGTGATGCACATACTTGGAACTCCCCAACTGTAAACTGTGGAACTTAAATGTGCTTAATTTGGACTGGAACATAACTATGCATACGGAACCAAGTTGATATGTTTCCCCCTCTGCTTATCAATACTAATTTATTATATTGGTTCTATCGGGCATTTTGGTGCTTGTTTTCATTTATGTGATATGTATCCACTTTTGGGGGGGGAATGTGGGTGGCGCTGTGGTCTAAACCACAAAGCCTAGGGCTTGCTGATCAGAAGGTCGGTGGTTCGAATCCCCGTGATGGGGTCAGCTCTCGTTGCTTGGTCCCTGCTCCCGCCAACCTAGCAGTTCGAAAGCATGTCAAAGTGCAAGTAGATAAATAGGTACCGCTCCTGCAGGAAGGTAAACGGTGTTTCCGTGCGCTGCTCTGGTTCGCCAGAAGTGGCTTTGTCATGCTGGCCACATGACCCGGAAGCTGTACACAGGCTCCCTCGGCCAATAAAGCGAGATGAGCGCTGTAACCCCAGAGTCATCCGCGACTGGACCTAACAGTCAGGGGTCCCTTTACCTTTATCCATTTTTTCAATAATATCCTATTTTTAAGAGCTTGAATAAGAATAAAACTTGAGGATCAGCTTTTTCCTTTCAGCTCATCTGAATTTTGTTTAAGTAAGAGTCAGGTTAGTATATAGTAGAGGATTTATGATAAATGGAAAAAAACTTGGAACTAGGCAGGATATTTCACTTGGTTATGTGTGCTTTTAGGTATATCTTTGACAAAAACTTGACACATTTTCCCCTCTAACTAAAACAGTTATTCCATTCGCTTATACTGAACACTGGAAAATTAATATCATGCCAGAAAGACAGTATTTTGAAATATATATACTGTAATAAGACATGGTCCACAAAAAACCAGCATATATTTACCATCTATAATTTGGGGGGAAGTGTTGGGTTTTATTTGGGGATGGAGTTAAAGTGGTAAATTTTGATCTGTTTTGGAAGATAGGTGAGGTACTCTATAAACACATACATAATTCTCTATGAGGAAATGATTATACATTTAAAGAAGGGGTACAAAAAAAGTAGTTTGGGATCTACTTGCAGATCTCTTGGTGATTTGTAATAGATTTAGAAGATCAAGATTTTTGATTCCCAGTTATTTAACAAAAGCAACATATGAAAAAGGCTCCTCCACTCCAAATTAGGCCAGTGAAATCACCAAAGCTTGGATGGAAGCCACGAGAGGATTTCTAGGTGGCAAGAAACATGAACTTTGTTCTGGTATTATAAACAAATTCCTGGACTGAGCACGTGCTCAAAGATACTACATTCTTTAATTCTAAGGGTATGTCTGGCTCCTATTCCTTAAAAAAAAAAATTGAAGGAAGACGTTACTCTCTCCTCCTGAAAAACCCCCAAACCATAAAGGATTCCTCCTTGGTAAGAACGGTTAAATAAGTGACCAGTTCAATCCTCCTTCCCCTCAGAAAAGAATAAATCAGTAGAAGGCATTGTACAGAGCAATATAGCTTGACGCAAATAAAAAATACAGCATCAACACATTTCTAGAAACCTCATGGGAAAAGGAGGCTTTTCCAGTTTCACAGCAATTCCACCCCACATACATCTTTGTCAGCTCTAGTCCTTGTCCCAAAGCCTGAGAAATGCCCAGTCATTCCTGCTGTGGCTCTGTGCTCTCTAATATAAATCACAAACGTGTTATAATAGTCCAGTGTTGATTATTATTCTTTCTGCAGCCTCAGTTTGAAAGACAGTTTCTCACCCATTGCAGTATTCCATTATTTTTCACTTCGGCATGGTTGGTGAAGCTTCCAATTTTAGCATAAAGCAAAGTAGATCCTGAAAGTCTGAAGAAAGCATGTCCCTGATTTAAAGCTACTTTCTTCCAGGTCAAATAATCATTAACTTTTTTCAAAAATAATAATATAAGGTACCCCCTTTTGGAGGGAGAAAGGCAGGGTTTCCACCTCTAAATAATTAAATGGGTGGCAAGTTACCATACTTGTGTTATAGTTTGTTGTCATGAGTTTTACCTCAATGGCATAATGCATATTTCTGTCTTACTGCAGACGAAACACAACTGTAGGTATCGGGGTGGTTTTAACCCATGGTTTATATCTGGGACCCCCAAAGTAGCACTCATGGAATGCCTGTAAAGCCTCCCTATTCTCCTGGCCCCACCCACTTTTCCAGGAGATACCTTTTCCTCCTCCTTTGGAAGTGGGAAGGAGGGGGCAGCTTCAGTCCTGAAAACAAGTTGAGATGTGGAAGGAATGTTGGTCCTTCCTACTCCTCCTTTCAGCTTTCCAAACCGAGATCCACACCTCAGAGCAGAACACAGAGCTTACAGGGAGCAAAGCCTTGTGAAAGAAAAAAAGGAAAAGGTAATGGGTGGTTAGAGAAAGCCAATGGGTGGAAGAGGGCTGGTGGGCAGCGTAAGGAGGGAGAGATAGCAACGTATATTGTATATTTGCTTTCTCCCTCCTCTCCAGGATCTAGTGGGTCTGTGTTTATATGCTTTTTCTCCTTTCTAGGATCTGGAGGTCTGGGCTTGGTTTTCTTCCCCATCTCTGTCTAAAGGGGGGGGGTCAACTGTGTTTTACGTTCCCTCCTTTCAAGGTCTGGATTTGTCTGTATTGGCGGGCGTTTGGTTCCCCCCCCCCCACTTCTCTAGGGTCTGTGTGTTCTTTTTTCCCTTCTTACCTGCTTGCCTTCTAATGCCCAAACTCCTTCCCCAAAGAGAGCAGCGGGAGTGAGTGGGGCATTGTGGCCCCCACAGCAGCCATTTTGTGACTGAACAAGCCCCTCATTGCAGCAGTTTCAAAATGACACCTGCAACATTTTGAAAATTCCAAATATGCCCATGAACCCAGATAGACTGGTCCCCGCCCCCCCAATAAAAAACCAAGAGACCCAGTTATACTTCTGATAACTTTGAATATTTTGATAGGATCTGACAGCAGTCTTTCAATTTGGCAAAATGGCAGAGGCAACATAAAAGTGCAAGAAGTTTGCATCAAGTTCAAAAAGCCACAGGAATCATGCAAAAACTGTGTGATTATGTAGATGATACAGTAGGCCAGTGTAAGCAGGAATTTATATAAGAGATACTTCTCTTCATTTGCATGGCAGCCTGCTGTCTATGTTAGCTACCTTTCCATTAATGAACTGCCTGCTTAAATGCTAGTTTGTAGTAATTGGGCATAATTGACAAGATGTTTATTGTCATTGTGTTCCCATCATCATTTTTGTTCTTAAAAGACCCAGTTCAGAAAAGAACGGAGATTCTTTGGTCATCTTAAAGACAAACAGTTGAATTGTAGCCTAAGCTTTAGTTTTCATATCTTAAGAAAAGTTATATTTGCTGTCCTCATCAGCAAGGAGTGGAGTATTCTTCCCACTGTTCCTGCTGGTGCTATGCCTGCAGCTTATTGAACTGTTGTGTTGTTCCATGGCACTCTGTTTCAAGACAGAGAGCAGTTCTCAGAATTGGCTGAGATAATTGGAAAGAATATGTTGTTGGCCCTTCTGGGAATTACGGAAGAGTCCATACAGCACATACGATACTCTAAAAAGTTAACTTTTCTCCTGATTGTTGCTAGGTTAGAGATTGTGCACTGTTGAAACATATTTGAAGGACTCTCGATTGATGCATGGTATAACTAAAGTGTGGATGAATATGCTGGCTTGCCATGGCAGAGAAACTGACTTGTCAAATTAGAGCAACCAAGGAGACAGTAAACATCAATTTCTTTTAAGCAGATTGTTCATATTACATGTCAGATGGGAAAGTCAAGTGAGATTATTGCTATTAGCATGGCACCAGTTCCAATTTAGGTACAGTGGTACCTCGGGTTACAAACGCTTTGGGTTACAAACACTTCGGGTTACAAACTCTGCTAACCCGGAAGTAGTACCTCGGGTTAAGAACTTTGCCCCAGGATGAGAATGGAAATCGCGCGCCAGCAGTGCAGCAGCAGCAGGCCCCATTAGCGAAAGCATGCCTCAGTTTTGGGTTAAGAACGGACCTCTGGAACAAATTAAGTTCGTAACCTGAGGTACCACTGTATCTTCAAACCCACCCCTGCCCCCCGAGAGCTCTGGCCAAGCTTTTAGCCTGCTGATCTTCTCAGACATAGTTTTCCTGGCTTGGTAAACCATGGTTTTAGCAAGCTGAGAATGACCATTGGACCTTCACACCTCATTCTCCCCAGTCACCTTTCCTCCCACTGTATGCCTGCTTTAGAACTGTGATTATGGTTTGGTGCTGCTGAGAGCTTTGTTGTATTGATTTTGTTTTCTGTTGCTGGTTTTCTGTTATATTGGATTTTGTGCTATATTGGTTTTTATCAATTTATTATCTTGTTTTATGTTGATTTGTGTTTATTTCTGTTAGATGCTCTCCAGGGAACTTACCTTATTGGGTAGCATACAAATATTGTAAATAAGTAATTCTTTAAATCAGATTCTGGCTTCATGTTGGCTTACTAACTAAAACAAGAAGCTCTAGCTAAGGCTGTTTTGTACCGAGCACTTCCTGTGGCATAGACACACTTTGGTTGCGTTCAT